TTAACATTAGCATCCGTTGCGAATATGATAGCATATAACTACAACCGACAATTGCACTATTAGGTTTGGGAGTTTACTACATGTAGAATTGAAGAAGAATTTCGGGAAAGCCAATTTTGATGGAATGAGACATGATCTGGCTTCTGTAAATTTGACTAAAGAGTTGGGAGGGGATCTTGAACAGATATGGGAAGCATTTAGGGTAAAATCAATATGCACACAGAACATACATATTCCCTACAGTAAAAAAAGGGCAATGGAGCGGAATAAGCCAGTATGGTTATGTAAAGGTTTAAAATAGCATTTTAGGAATAAATATAATAAATTCAAGAAATTTAAACATATGTTACTATATTTTATTTTGTAGAATACTTAATTGCATAAATTCTGGATTCTGTTTGCATGCAATATGTGTTTTGTTAAACCAGGAGTTGTTGTTATTGTCTTGTATGTGAGAATTCCGCACCCCTATAGACCACTATAGTGATAATGGCTGAACAATTAATCAAAATAATCAATTAACTATATCAGTTAGTGTCATGTAAGATAATAAATCTAAATTGATGTGCCAAAAATAATCAACTAATGGAAATTAATGTTTCTAATTATTACTATTTTTGATTATTCCAATTATTCAGGTCTCATGTGAGAATAATCAATTAGCTGATAATACTTAATTAATGAATATGATGATGAATTGATTATGAACTTCCATTAATTAACTAGCTATAAAATATTAGTATTTATGAAGGTATAGTTTAAAAAACAGTATTGATAGTTTTTATTCACAATCTATATAACAATATTCGGTTTGTGTCACGTAACTTCTCCTAAGTCGCTGGTTGCACCGACTTCTAAGTGGTACCAAACGAATCTTCTCGGTCCCAAGGTTTGCAAAAAGGTCTTCACAGATAGAAAAGGCGAGACAGACTCTGTGAAACACAAGATCAAGACTATGACCAGGAATCCAGTCAAAGTGAAGCCCTACCAGATGTCCTGTATAATGATGGACTTGATCAAGCAGGAAGTCGAGGTTATGTTAGAAGCCAGGATCATTGAGCCTTCAAATTCAGCCTACTGTTCACTGTTTGTAATCATGAAGAAGAGGAGTGGCTCAAATTGCTTCTGCATAGATTTACGAAGCAGAACCTCGTGACTAAGTTTGACTCCAAACCTATGGCCAACCCAGAGGCTATCATGGCGAAACTAGATGTGGCCAAGTTCTTTACTAGGATATACCTCAGGAAAGGTTATTGGCAAATCTCGATGGAAATAGAATCTAAAGAGAAGGCAGCCTTTGTGACACCAGATGGATGCTATCAGTTCATGTGGATGCCATTTGGGTTATTCAACTCTACAGCAACATTCAACCTTATGACGAGAAAGATGTTGCACAAAACCACCAGAATTAAGCATTTTGTGGATGGCATTCTGACCCACAAAACAAAGTGGAAAGACCACTTTAAAAACTCAGAGAGTTGTTTGGGCAAGTGAGAGCAGCAGGTCTAACCATCAGACCATCTAAGTGCTGTATCAGCTACTCTGTGCTGAAATTTGATGAATACAAAGTAGCAGACCAACAGATAGCCATAGAAAAGGAGAAGCTAACCCACATACAAAATGATCCAGCTCCAACAACCAAGCAGTAAGTCAGATCTTTCCTGGGGTTAGGAGGATACTATAGGAAGTTCATCCTAAACTATGCTGAAGTGACTGCATCACTGACTGACATGACCAAGAAAGGCCAACCCAACAAGGTGAAGTGGGAACAACAACAGCAGATGACATTTCTGAAGTTTAAGAACATGTTAGGAAGTTCACCAATCCTTAGAATACCAGACTTTAACAAACCGTTCATCTTTCAGGCCAATGCATCAGACGTTGGAATATGAGCAGTTTTTCTGCTAGAACATTTAGACAGACTGTTTCTTGTAATTTACGTCAGTAAAAAGCTGTTGATTAGTAAGAACTACCTCGTTATTGGACAAAAATGTGTCTAGCCATCATATTTGCCATCTGGAAATTCCAGAACTACCTCTATGGGAAGGAGTTCAGCTTCCAAATGGACCATCAGCCCCTTGCATACATACAGAGGTGTAAAATCGACAGTATGAGAATCATGAGGTGGGCATTGTACCTCCAGAACTATTGGTTCCGCCAAGGCCACCAAGGGGACTGTAAATGTTGGTGCAGACTGTATGAGTAGACTTTGTGCATGAGCTAAAAACAATCTTTGTATATAATATAAAAAAAGCAGTAAATATTTTTTGAAGAGGAGGCTTATTGTTAGATATACACGACTATATCAATGTGAGTGTTATAATTTAGATAGTTTATATAGTGCGAGTGTTAAATTTAGTTATTTTAGAAGGAATAATTTATCACAGGTTTGTTTACATAGCTGTTTACGAATCATACGTTGTGTAGTTCAATAGTTACGACTTAGTGACTGTTATATTACTGCATCATGATTCTAGAAACTTTTGAGTTTTTCTCTTTGTTTTAAATGAGTATTATTGCATCATAATACTTAATATTGTGTGAAACATTATAAACCTCTGTAGCTGTATAAATACGTGTCGGAAATTTAGTTCACTAGATAGATCTGGACTGCGTGATTGTGAGTTTAGCCATAAAGAACATATAGTGGCGATATTTAAAGATTGTATTGTAATAACAGAGAAGGAAGAATAATTCATCTTGTCAAATTGTGTTCTAAAGTAACTGAACCAGTCTGTGTGGACTTTGACGAAAAAGAGACAAATATTTGAAGCTCTGGATACAACTGTGGTAACCAACAGTTTAACGAACATTTATATATATGTTTGACCTTTTTAAATATATTATTTAAAGTGCTTATAGCCAATTGATGTATACATTACTAGTTTTGGACTTTAGGATTAACTAAAGACCTCAAATTTGATGAACTTGAAAGTAACCTAAAACAATACACTTGCAATTAATTATGTAAATTATTTCATTAGTATATACGTATTATGTATGTATGTTTGTAATTAAGCACAAAGCTACAGAATGGGGTATCTGTGCTCTGTCCACCACGGGTATCAAAACCCGGATTCTAGTGTTGTAAGTCATACCGCTGTGCCACTAGGGGCACACGTATTAATGAGTTCAGATTCAGATTATGTAAAAAAATAATATCTTAAATATTAATAATCTACCCAACTAAATTATATGTCGATTTAAAGCTTAAGAAGAGAGGAAAAGTATGAACCTAACATACTAGTTTCAGACTATCACAGAATAAAAGAAAAACAAAAATTTATATATTTTCAACTCTATAAATCAACCCTCCAGTTACAGAGCTCTTATAGTTAGGGTGTCACTTTTTACAACCCATGTTTTAGTTTATTTCCTGCAGGATTTTCCAAACTGTTCTGTATGAAAATTTGGTAGAAATTCATGAAAATTTGGCAAAACTACAATTGTTTTTGTACGTAAGGTAGGGTAAAAGCTGAAACTGACAAAAACGCGATTAAAAGTGAAAGTCGTCATCACTTCAAGGTTTAACAATTTTCCATCCTCAAGATTGATCTCACGTAGTAGTATGTAGCACAATTCTTGCACAATTAGGAATTGGCTCGTCAATGTGTTGGCTGTCATTGAATTTTTTCAGTGTAGAATGAAAAGAAAATTCACCCAACTCTTTAAACTTTTTGGCAGCAAATAAAACCATACAGAAAGGGATTAAACTTGTAAAAGAGAAAGGAGTTGATATAGCACCCAGAAAAGTGTCACATGGATACTGTTAACTTGAAGTTTCACTGGAGTGAAGTTAGCATTGTTGTAGTATTTTAAGACTAGACACTTTATTATGCATTGTTTTTGTGTCACAAAAATTGAGAAAATTACCACCAAAGAGGTGGCGAATTGCCACGAATTCCGTTGCTAGGGCGGTTGCTATGGGAAGATTTTAATTTTCAGTTCAAGATTACAATTTTGAATAACATATTTGAGGGGTATGTATGGGTATTTTGAAAAATGTATTTCAGAAACTGAATGTAGACATTTTTAAGTAGCATATATATATATATATTTAAAAAGGATGAAAAAAATTAAACAAATGGGCTAGAAATACTTTAAAACAAGAGGACTGTGGGTTCCTCGTCATCGTATTCTCTTTGTTTATCGTTCACATTTATCGCCTACAAGTCACGGACACCTACTGTAAATAATCGGCTGATACATAAAACCTAACAATAATTCGGTAAAATTTTAGTGAAGTTTCTTCTTATCGAAGAACAGTTCTGAATTCGGTAAACCATGTAAAACACATGCTGCTCCATTCAGTAAAATTTAAAATCCGTTTGTTGATTCTTGTTGTGTTTTTTAAAAGATCTGAAAGCTCATAACTTACTGAATGATTTTTTAGAAGCTGAATGTTTCTGAATAGACAATTTGGAGAGGAGTGCTTACTCTACCGCCCACATCCGAAGGCGACACCATTGTTTACGACGATTGTCACGTCAGGAACAAAACTGAAGATTACACTTCAGTGTCATATCACAAATTGATATCATACAATTGTTTTAAAAATCATTGTTATTATTCACATGATTTGATGCCATGAAAAGATGCGATAAGTTTGCAAGCAAAGTTTTTACTCATTTTATCAATTTGATGCTTCAGAAGCTAGATAAATACAACTAGATTTCTAAATTTCCAGTCAACCATGACTAGGCTAGACTAATATTAGCTTTCCAGGTGAAACGTGTTTTAAACATCAGTGCGGGTGGTTAAGTACGCTATGTGATAACAAAATTAAAGTCCTTCCACAATAAGAAGACGTACATACAGCAAAAATAAATAAAAACCACCTTTAGAAATGATAGGATCACTGAAACGCATATAGATCGGATTGTAACCTGATATTTCTGCTAATAAATTTTGTTTGCTCTGCAGAAAGGTGGCGCTACAATATCGTGATTTTTATCCCATATCTATATATATACAAGTACAGATTACCGTAAACTGCTGGATAACCATAGTAACTGTAGTGGTGAGTAAGTAGGGTAAGTCTTTCTTTCGTGAATATATGTATATATTGTTATTTGAACACCGACATTATATCTATGGCAATATTCATTAAATGCTTCGTATTTCAAGTTAAAAATGAATCCGGTTGTTGAGATATTTTGTGTTGAAGATGTTTACGACTTAGCGGCTGAGATTGGAAAAGAATTCGAGAATATAATTGATGTTTATGGTGTTGAAGTTGTTACTAATTTGATGCCCAAAGTCCTCTGTGCTTTAGAACAGCTGGAATGCTGTGCAGTTAGAAACGATCGTGTGGATTTAGAAGTATCAGATCTTAATTCAACTATTGCCCAACTTCAGTATGAAAAAGTTGAAAAGCAAGAGTCTAAAAGCAAATTAGAAAAGGTAAGCACTCTTTATTAATCATATGATACTGTCTACGAGAGAGTCTGTGTGAACTTGGAATCGATTTGGCCGGCCGAAGGCGTAAGAAATAAAAAAAGGTGGATTGGATCAGGACCTAGAATTATTTTATCCTATCATCTTTGAGCTTATAACTTATAGTTATATGGTTTGTTGTTTCACCACTAAGTATTATGTAAAATTTCATCAACTACTAGTTAATGTTGTAATATTGGAACTTTGTTTGTTTGTACTCGTTGATTTTATGTATCTTGTGGAATGAAGTGAAATAAAAGTATTTAAACTACAAGTCACTATTTATCACTGGTATCACAGTTTTTTTTTTATAAACACTATTGGTTAAGATGCTTAACCTGATATATAGAAATAATTTTATGGCAAAAGAAATTTTTTTTCAGTTACACATTTGCTTCCTGACAGTTTAAAATACTACACAATTTCACTATAAACACTTGTTGTAATACTAGGTTGCATGAAATTTAGCATTCACTAATTTTGTGTTTGAATGTATGGGACTTTATTTAAGTAATGGTATTTGCAGAATATATATATATATATATATGAAAGTAATATTAATCATTTAACTTAGAAAACCTGAATTACATCATAATCACTTGTAATTTTTAAACGCTGCTCTTCATAAGATCAAGATTTTGTTAGCCATATATTGTGTTGTTTTTACTTAATTCTATTCATTATTCAAATATACTTTTGTGTTAAAGTATTAACCTAAATTGAAAACATGCATTTGTTTATAATCCAACAAATTCTGAAAGTTGTACCAAGAAATGACAGTTAATTCTCACTTTCAAACTGCATTTTTACAAATTCTCACCTACAGTGTATTTGTTCTTTTGTTACACTTTAAGACTCATGAGAAGGCTTCATCATTTACCAATGATTAAATTTAATTTTTGTTACTTCTTTAACATCAATAATATTAATATCACATGAAAAGTAAAATCATCACAAGTTTTTCCATCAAAATAAATGACTTTACACTTTTGAATTCTCCATTCTAATGTGTGCATAGACTCTTTTTATTGCTTGCCTCATTATAAAGTAAAAAAAAAAGGGCCAGTTTTGTATCACGTACACATCTCAACAAAAACGTGACTTAATACATTTGGAATACGCTTAAGATCTCTTATATTTTATTGAGAAAAAAAAAGAGTAAGAGGTGATCTTGTTATAGTTTACAAGATTATCTAGGGATTGTAATATAAGGAGAGGACACAAGTTAAGTAATTGTAAAAATACAGGCTAGGCTGTTAAGACAGTTTTATTTTTCTAATTGGGTAATTGGCTTATGGAACTGATAATTTCCTGGAAAGGAAAAGTGTGTTTGATTTGTACATTCCATTTTCTTTGATTTGGGTGTGCAAGTACAGACTTTTGGGGCAAATAGTTCCTTGTTGTTCCTATGTGATGTTATGAATACAGGGCCAATTCTGTATTATATGCACTCATAGGCCAAAGCTTGAACCTTTAATGTTTGAATACAGGGCCAATTCTGTATCATTGCACTCTGAGATCAAAACTTGAACCTAGTACTCCTTGAATACAGGGCCAGTTCTGTATCACCTGTACTCTGAGACCAGAAGTTGAACAGCCTTTGCTCTACAATACACACACGCCAACCAAAACTATTGTTAATGAGCCCAAACATCAAACGTGTATTGTCTGATCAAACTTAAGAACATAGAAATATTTTCACTGTTCCTGAGCTAAATAATCGCTTCATTTAGTCACTTAGTCAATTTGAAAGCAAAGAATTTTATATGATAATAATCCTTTGAAGTTAACCAGTCATTTTATCAACATGTAATCCATAGATCATAAAAATGAAATTTTAAAGTATTAAAATTGAACTTTTCCTTGAATTAATAAATCATTTAATTTTGTCTACTGGTCTGGGAGATTGAAATTTATAACAGAAATAAAAGCATTGCTTATTCATCAGCCATATTATTTATCTCATATTTGGGTGTTTATTAATCATGAAGCAATAGAACAGATACAGATATAGGTACAACTGTATAGTTCTACAAGTGTATCAGCTAGAGTTTAACCTTGTAATACCTGAACTTGTGGAAATTTCTCAAGTCAGGTACTTGTTTAAGCAGGATATAAAGATATATTTTAAGATGATCCTTCAAATCAGTCTGATTATATAGTTTAATGGTAACAATAGTAAATTTGCCATGAAATGTCAACACTCCTACATGGAGAACTAAACATTTCACACGATGAAATACATTTAAAGTTATAGGTATTAAAAAGATAACAGTCACAACTTTTTTATTTAATTTATTGGGAAATAGTTTGTCAACTGGATAGAAAATTTCCAGATTGAGAAACTGATACATAGGTGTAGAATTCTCCTGTTTTAATAGAACTTTGTAACTACTTGAGAAGGAGAAATGTTGTAAGAAAACATATGAAAAATTATATATACAAAATTTTGTAGGTGTGTAAAAATTAAACCTTCAAGCTTTGCATATTTTTAGTTTAAGTATATTTACCTATTAGTTTTTATTTTTACATTTATTCATAAGCTGAATTTTTTAAGCACAAGGATTTCATATTTTATAAATATTTTTTAAACCATTTTGAAATTTCTGTCATTATCTTAGTACAAATTTGCATGTTTTAAATTTTTGTGTAAGAATAATTAGTGCCTCTACCAAGTTAAACCTAATACAAATATGACCATTGAATGATTCTGGTCAACATCATACAAATAACTAGTTTATAGTTTGATTTACTATGTTTACACTTCACTCTAATCAGTGGTCTTGGATATTTTCAGATTCTGTTTAAAAAAGAACTAGGTTTTTATTCTAATCCAGCATTCTAAGTTAAAAAGATTATGAAACTCAAAATTCACTTGAACATACAGGTACTATGTATGTTATTTTCGGAGAGAAACAAATGGGTTTTCTAGTTTGTGGCCTTTTGTTTAAGAACACTTAATTTTTAATCACTATACAATTTTTACTAAGATGTAATGGATAAAAATAGTACTCTAGTAAAACAAAAGTTAGACCTATGGAAAAAATTTTGTGGTCTTCATACCTGAGTTAGTAATATGTTTTGAATAAGTAACCTTGAATATTTCATATACAAATTTTTAATTATATATATTCTGGTACATTTCATGCACTGTATTTTTTATTGCAGATTTACTCCATATTTTATCAAGATTAATGGTCAAAAGTTCATGTCACTTAGTTTAGTTTTAACTTACTTGCATTGTTTTTGGTAACAAACTTGAAAGTATGTTTATTGTGTAATTTCTTATAACTTGTTTGTTTACTGATTACATAATATTCTCGTTTTGAAACGAGTTAATCTAGCATTTCTGTTTCAACTTTGTTGTAAATTACTCAGTGCTCAAAATAATTTCAAGGAAATATACATTACACTAAAAATGTCATGCGTTTTTAGTTAACTCTCATGTGAGAATAATGCTTATCAATGTCATAGATAGTGGTTTGCATAACATGCATAATGTTGTAATTTTGGCTATTATTAATCACTTAAAAACATTCTTTTAGTCAGATGTTAATGTATAAATAATGAATCATCAACAATTTATTTTAATATGAAATTAACCAGATTATCTCATTCTTATATCTATCTGTACATATATATTTAATGTCTGCTTTTTAAATTAAAACATTTATGTACATTATCGGTAGGTTACGTGCAACTTAATATAACTTGTAGAATTGTTTGAAGTTTTAATATTTACTATTAATAGGCAATATATTAAAACTAGCAAAATTAGATCTTTGTTTAAAATACTGTGAAATGTGTTTATTACACATAGTATAATAACTTGATAATATCTATTTAGTACATTATTATGATGGCCTCGTTTATAACTTAAAGGACCGTTGACTTAACTGACCGCGAACGTATGTTTGTTATCTCAGGGTCTTATAGTTGAAATTATACTTGGAGAAGCGAAAACAATATGATCCACTTATTGGCGCGTACTTGAGCTGTTAGTGTCAGTTTATACTGTTAGTCGGCCAGGTGTGACAACTTTAAGATATGCACGTGTAGGTGTTGGTCTGGTAGGCTTAAGCCTTCCACCTGTTCTGCGACTTGAAATATTCGTACTAGCACTATTATATACATCCGCCAGTTTGATTCGGAAATGAGGCTATGTGTGGATTGTTGTGTCTTCTCACTATTTTTGTCTGCGGATGGGCTGTTGCCCTTTTCATGAGATCACGGGTAAGAATATACTGTACTTTGTCACCAGTTTTCAACATTAATTATATATTTGTGACGTACATACGTTTTGGTTTTTTGATGTAGATGAAGTGAAACAACACACAAGTTTGAAAAAACATTTAGTACACGTACCGTCCCAAAACTAGGGTTTCGCATGTTTCATTATACTCGTATGTGTTGCGCATGCGTTTCTGAGAGTATTATAGTAACCAAAATTTAGGGAGCACTGTGCTTTTCGGTGGCGTCAGAAATTTGTGTTAAAATATTTTAAATCAGAAAATTATTCGATTATATATATATTAGCCGATATAGAAAAACAAAATAATGCTTAACGTAGACCAGCAAGTTATACATATCGTTGTTGTTGGTATAATTCTGTAGCGATTTAATGATAAAATACCAAATGCGTATTAGTATTACTGAAGATGAAACTGGATTGTATATTAATTGTCTGAGGGATGTAATACCACGTATTTAATGCTTTTACTACTAATAGGCCTTATATTAGAACTAGAAAAATCAGTTAATAAGTGTATCAAGTATCTGACCTTGAAAGCTCGAATGAGTTGGGTGTAACAAGCGACGTCTGCCTAACTCTCCTTTTTTAAATTTAAGCTACTTTTTTGAAACGTTCCATGCTGGAGTGATTTGATTACTGGATTATTATAAGAATAAAGAAAGCACAAGTTATTGTTTTTACTGAAGCATGATAGCAAATACATTTAATAACATATGTTTTGTTTTTTAATTGAACAATACTAAAGATTTCGTTGGTGATGTGATGTGATAATTATGTCATTTGTGAGAAAGGTCAGTGACTGTATTTACCTTGAAATGATCCAAGTCATTACAGAAATACAACTGGTAAAATTAGATACCACAGGTCTGCCAAGTAATATTACAAGTAGAATGTTGACAATCCTTCTGAAACAGGATACAAATAGTACCAGAATACTACTTGATATGATTATTTTACAATATAAAGAAATAATATAAGAGATGAAGAAGATAAGACAGAACAACACAAGATCAAAACTTGGAACAGACAGCTAATTTGTTTTTATATTTTTACTGAAAGAGTTGCCATTGGCATTAGTGGAGGCTGGTAATTTAAAAGAGTTTGATAGGGAATGGATGATTTTCTGAAAAATAAAAAGATAAAATGCTTACTTTTCATAATGGTGGGTATGCAAGGACAGTCACGAAGGATCAAAAGACTCTTTGTTGTTCATATGTTATGAAGCCTTGACCATTCTTTGAAAGTCTTCAAGGTACAGTGATATATATTGCTGTGTTTTGTAGGTAGAGGTGTGTTGTCAATGGGGCAATATAGACCTTTCACTGTAATGTTTGGATGAAAAGCATGCACTAGAAATGAAAAATAAAAGCTGGTCATTAAGTTTAGTGAAGTTATCCATCAAAAATTTCAAATAGTGCAGATGGAACTCCCACAGAAAAATCTTTTTGGACATATATATATATAGCTGTGTAAGCAAAAATATATCAATAAATTAAAAAAATTATTAACAAACTTCCTTTCTTCATAATGTTTCTCTCATTAGAGATTTTTTCTTTTTTATTCGACACAAATGAAATCTTTTTTTCTCCCCCCCATGAAAAATTCCACCATCAGTTGTTTGGTAGGTTCATGCAAACCCTTTTTTTTTATCAAGGTCTCTCTCATCTGAAAACTAGAACTAACTAAAGAATTTGCACAAATACTGTACATTTGTGAATTATCCACTAGGTGTATCTGTGTTAGTGTATTATTATTATTTTTTCCCTCTGGCAATTGTAAAATTGGTTGCAAATTCTATTGTATATATTTAACAAATGATACTCCTTGATTCTGTGGCCACAAAACTTCTTTAAGTAGTAATTAGTAAATGTGCAGGTATTAAGAGTTAGGAAAGTTTTTTTTAATATTATGTTTGATCTATTTAATGCTTTAAAGCTGTGATTTGTTTAAACTTTTAACATGTTGGTTCAGATGCTTCATTAAACTCCAAATCAGCCCTGAAATGCTTACAGTAGAAATTACAGAACCCTGCTTTAGAATTATTACAAATTTGTTGTATTTTTTTAGAGGATTTTAACAATTTATATTTCTGTATGTTCTAGATAAAGTTACTGATCACTTTTGTAGTGGAACGATAACAGAATTAAATTCTAATAAAATCAGTATAGTACTTGTAGTAGCTTGGCCTGTTATAGACATTTTAAGTATTAATGTTTTTAATTTTTCAGCATTTAGACATGTAGTTGTTATAAATACTATAGGTTAGTATGTTAGTAGAAGTTTTGTTACTTATCATTATGTATAAAAACTAATCTGAAAAAGTAGTGAAATATTATGTAGATGCAATAGTAAGCATGTATGAGTTGTCATCCTCAACAGAGTGGGCCACGAGTTATAGTGCAGAGTTGCTGGAAACACGTTCTCATAAATTTTTCTTTTTTTCTTATATTTACTGATCTAAAAATTATACTTATTTTTGTACCATAACAATTTGTTTGAATTTTAGATCTGCTAGTTTAAAACAAACTGAAATCTGAACAAGTGATGAAACATCATGTAGAGTGTTGAGATCACTGAATAACCAGCTACTCATTCCTCTACACCACAAGAATAAAATGTAAATACAAAGTTATTTTATGCATGCATACTTACAGATACTATGAACAGTTGACAATTTTGTATGTAGATACAGAATGTATGAATTGAGCATTGGACAAGAATAAGGCTACTGATGCTTTATTTCCGTACCAAAAGAAATCATCTATCTACTGTATGAATCTGTCTGCTTATTCATCCAGTTTATCTGCCTTACTGTTTGTCTTTTTTTATATAATAGTGGAGTATCAACAGTATTCTGTTGTCATAACGTGTGTGTTGATTTTGAGATCAACTTTATAAACTTTATGGAAATTTTAATGTTAAATTTGATGGGGGAATTGATCCAAACTGTAGTGTGACTTTACCATGAGAAAATTTGTGAACTATGACAGAAGAAAATTGTATTGCCGAAATTAATACTTTGCAAAGTTTGCATAAATTTGTTGAAGAAAAATGTTTTGGATGATTTTGGGAAATTTCTTGAAAGTAAAACTTCTAGTCATAACAATAAAAAATTATCCTAAAAGTTTGGACATATTTCTTTAAAGATGGTTGATTATTTTGTGATTATTAGAAGACTTTCAGTATAGTCTCATAATAATAATTTTCAAAACATTATTGTAACATCTATAGTTAAAAAAAAGGCACAGGAATCTATTTGTAGAGATGATTTGGAAAACTTGTAATTTAACAATTAATAATCACCATGATTTTTGAACAAGGTTTGCTTGTTTGACAGACTTAATGCAGTTTTTTATTTTTATTTTAATGAAGACACCACAGTTAACATTGTATATCTTACTTTCAAAAAGGTGCCATGCAAGAGGTTAGTTGCCAAGTTTGATTCTTAGGAATTGGTAGAATATTCTTGGTATTAGAAACCAAAATATAGTTATAAATGGTAATTCTTGCAGTTGAAAGAATGTGGACAGTAGAATCCATTGGAAATATTTTAAGATTTTTGTTATTTAAAACACTAGTTTATTTTATTCAGAAGGACCTAGATATTCTTAATAATTGAGATAGAATGTTAAAAATAAGAACAGCTGTATCATGAAACATGCTTCATCCTTTCCCTCTTGATATACATGATCTGCACTTAACAAACTATACATGTGTAGTCTTTTTCAAGAGACTGTTCATCAAAATTGACTAAGTAAATTAGATATTACACATTAAAACCTACAGCATATTTCTCAGGAAAAGTTGAAATTGCTTTTAGTATACTTAAGGTTATGTTGATAGTTAGTAAGTATGTAAAATTATACACTTTTGTATACTTTTCTCTAGGTTAAAATACTTTTATTTGCGAGCTTTCGACCCTCTTACCCAAGCCTTCATCGGGCAACAATGTATTCATAATGTAGAGAAAAGTCTGTGTATAATTCTACATATTAATTTACTTACGTTATGAGTCTTAAACAACAGATGATAGTTAATAAATTCTCTTAGAAATTTGTGATAATAAATAATGCTGTATTATTAGATTGTTAGCTTTAAGATGGCAGGTATATATAACTATTAATTTGCTTCTTTCTTTTTTTTTGAGAAAATATACAACAAGCTAACAGTTGTGATAATATAGATTATAATACAAAAAGTTTGCAATTAATGCTTTTTTACAATTTCATCTAATTATTTATATTTTAGCAATTTCAACAAGACATTTATATTGTAGGAGCTTGAACAGATAGAAGATATTTGGAGAGAAGAAACTAACAAGCTAAGTGAACTTGTTTCAAAGCTTAAGGAGGAAAATTTTCAGTTAAGCAGTTCACTAAAGGAAAAAGAGAGCTTTCTATCTGAAAAATCATCTGGTAAGATAAACTAATGTTTCATAGTTGTATGAGACTGCTTATGTGTGTCATTGTACAGTGTGCTTGTTTTTTGTTTAATGTTTTCTGTATAACAGGTTTTCCAATACAATAAGCATTCACAAATGTGGGAGTTTCTTGTAAGATTTGTAATTTTTTTTCTTTTTGAGATATTTACAAAATTTGAAGAGGAATTACAGAGTCTAAATCCATGTACATCATTACTTAATTTACCTAAAAAATTAACCAATCAACTTTTTGGATAAAAGTTCTAACTGATCAAACTTTGTTGGCAAAAATTATTTTTTGTAAAACTTTTAGTGGTGTACAAGGTTTTTGAGGAGTTTTTTTCTTATTAATAGATGTTATTTATTATTATTGTTTATAATATTTGAATTATAATTACACTTTTAAAGATAGTTAGCTCAATGGTTGGTTGTAGGATTGAGGAAAACTTCCTAAGCTTGGTGAACTTAAGATATTATTGAGACTATAACTAAAGATAGTGTTAAAAGTGAGGATACGAAACTGGTGATTCAGTGCTATTTAATCATTATGGACTTCAATTTTCTTGTACATTGGTTTATGTTATTAAGTACTTCTAGTCAGTTTGTTTTACAGGATTGTCTTCATAAGAATGTATGTTACTTTTAAACCATTTTATTTTTGAACTACATAAATGCAGGCAGCTTATTTCGATCAGAACTTTTTAATAATATTTATTAAAATAAAAGGGTGGAGAAAAATATGTGATGGAAAGAATATTGTTACCCCAGGGATCTTAACTGTATAAGGTGTTCAGAAAGGATTTAACTTCTTGGAAAAGGCTCAGAGAAGGGCTACTAGTATGGTTCTAAAGATAGAAGAGTTATCTTATATGGACTTATTAAGATCTCTTAGCTTCTTTTCTCTAGGGTAAAGAAAGGTAAGGGCTGATATTATTGAGGTTTATAACATTATCTGAGAGATTAATGGCCTTTAATACTTTGTGCTGTATTCTGAAGAGAATAATAAAATGAGAGGATATAAATTTAAGATTTGGTAAAGAGCTTAAGAAGGAGAATTGGTAATTTTATGAAAAGTTAAGGGTGGGTTTAAATTTTTACTTGTTGTCTATATGTTATGGTTGATTATGATCATATGAGAAACTGGCTAATTTACATCCTAAGAAAATCAGATAGTTATGCATCACATAAGTGTATTTTATTAATTCTTACTGAAAAGGATACTTTCTTGTGGTCATTTATGTGCTGTTGGAAAGAACTGCAAACACTCTGTACCATTATTTATTAATATTTTTTTTTCTTTGAAGCTGCTAAAACACATAGTAAAGGACAGTATTTTTTATTGTTATATAAGATATAGGATGGTGTATGTTTTGTTGTTACATTTATTACAATGTAGATATATATTATTTGTTTTGCTGTGTAACACATTAGATACAATAGTAGGTTCACTATATAATGCATCAGGTAAGAGAGTATGCTTTGCTCTTAATATAGTGATTTATTCAAATTGTTAAATACAAGTACAAGAGTTAAGTACAAACCATTTACTGTGTGAGTGTACACTTGCATATTATTTCATTGATAATTGAGACTTTTCTAGAATTATGTTTGAAAATTTGTTCCAAAACATACATACCTCCTCTCCTCCAACTTATAGCTATTACTTGACTGCCAGGGTTTTTACTTTGCCCTTCTAAGCATTGGTCTGATTTTTTTCTCACTTGCTCCAGTCTTTTATACCCCATTCAATTGCCGTTCGCAATATTTATCTTGTGATACTCTCCAACTACGTCAATGTGCCCTCTATCCTGATACTATATATAAGCACATCATTCAGCTAATGTTTTAATTTTTTCTAGACAAAGCATCACTAACAAGTTTTCCAGTATTATGATGGGTGAGAAATACTTTGAACATTATCTAGTTGATTTTCGTAATAATCATTATACTAGTTGATCACAGTGTGAATTTCTGGATTATTACTTCTGGCACAGAGGCAAATTGGGTCTCTCCTATCCAACCTCTGATATTTAGTGTCACATAACAATTGGGGGGAGGGACACATTCCTTCTGGCACAGAGGCAAATTGGGTCTCTCCTATCCCACCTCTAATATTTAGCATTGCATAACAGTTGGGAGGGGGACTTGCACTTGGTTGAGACTGTTATGATCTTATTCGTTGTAGTGAGATGGAGACATATATTTGGATCTGTGGTGGTCCTCTGGGGGACTCTGAGGCTGAATGTGAGAGCAGTCCTCAACATTTTGGAGAGAGATTTTAGATTCACTTTTTCTTGTGCCTTATTTTAGTCTGGATTTTCAGTGTCCCTGTGGGAGAGTGGTATGTTTACAAACTCACAGCGCTGGGGTTCGGGGTTCGATTCCCTAGCTTGAACATGGCAGATGATCCAAAGGTGCTTTGCTCTAACAAAACATCTTTACCTCACAAAACACTGTTCCAATCAACAGTAATCAACACAGTCTTTAAATGACCTATGAAAAAGAAAAGGAGGACACTTTGGAATAAGCTATCTTTGTTTTGTTTTTCTTCTGTTGTTTCTTAGAGTGTGTGATGTTTTGGGCTTTTTCCCTGTTGCTTTAGATCCTGCAATTGGTTGAATGGCCTGGTAGCGAATTTTTAGTGTTTTTTTTATTTTTTTCATACATAGATATTGTGGTTCATGTTGGAAGGTCTACTTTTCAGTTACGTGAAGAGACAGTTAGGCCTTATCTGACATGTTGTCAGAACTTCGTGATTTAGCCTACCACTGCTAGGTGAAGACATTTTCCGACTCTCAAATAATACATCTGTTTTTCACGTTTTGGGGTTCTAAGGTGGAATTTGTAGTTCACCTCTATAGTTCAATGTCCCCTGATGGGACAGAGTAAATTTACGGACTTACAACTCTAAAATTCAACATTTTGTTTCCTTTCACTTCACATTGTTAGAAAACTTTCAGGATCACCAACTTTACTGATGATGAGTTGGGTTTGATATTAGTATGCATGTGAGTTAAAATTTCAGCTTCTACATTCCTCTCTATTATTGTTGGAGTCTCAGATTACATTGGCTCCTACAGGGGGTCATAGTTCTGCCCCTATTCATGAGTCCTTACACACCATTATCAGCCCCTAGGTACATTGGTACCCAGAATAGATTCTGTCTATATCCAAGGTTTCCACTGGTCAGTAGGATCACCAGCAGTGTTGGTGATTATTGTATACCTTCAGGGTCTGTTGGGGCTAGGTTCCAATAATTCTTGGACATGTGGTAACCTTAAACATGGTTCCAAAAGCACTGCAGGTCCTTGAATCATAATTAGTCATTCAGTTCACATCTTCACCACTATTATCCATCCAACCTGTAGGGTTTCCATCTTTTTCAGTTCATCAGGAATTGGAACTTAGTTCTAGGGTTATCTGTGTTTGATTGGTCTGGAGGTAGTGAGAGAGTTGAACTAGTTCTTCAGAGTTTTTATTCCTGACAGGAGATTGGTGTCCAATCATTGATATTCCTCATCTATATCATTGCCTAGATTCTTCATGGTTCAAAAGTTACTCATTCCTCAATCTGTGTTGATGTTTTTACTGAGATTGTAGATGTCAAAGTTGGTTGCTGTTGGCTCCTATCTGCACTTTACCATAGTGGTGGTATTCCACCATTATTGGCATTTGTGGTGCACAAGGTCAGGTACTGCAGTTCCTGGTTTTTCTTTTTAAACTTGCATCAGCTTCACATAAGTTCTGCCATATTGTACGAATTTTTTCTTGTCCCATTCATTCCATTGTACTGTGCACACAACATTCCATCAATGACTAGTTACTGTTGGCACTATTTCATCAATTGTCAGACATCACATCCTGATTCTACTTTCAGAAACAACCAAGGTAGGCTCCCTTTCAGGACTGAGACATCTATCCTTGCTCCAATATGCCATTAGTCTTGGTATTTTTTATTTTTCATCTTGTTTCTCAGTCGAGCTCAGCTGTATCCTCTCCAGCTCAATGGTATAGAATAGGATGCCACACCCTTACTCACCTCTGCTACTCCCACTGTACGGATGGTTCTTTCTCTTCTGGGAATGTGGGTATCACTTGAATTCCTAGTGCCTTTGGAACAAGAACTCGAGCAATCCTTTTATTGGTCTTTATATGAACAAGGATCATAAACATTAATTCACTGGTTTCCCCAATTTCTTTAGTTAGGATCATTCTTCGATCTTGAGGGGTTGTTAAGTTGGGACAGTATTAAGATATGGGTTCCTCTACTGCTGCCTCATCCAGAGTTCCATCTCTTCATGAATGCCTTGCTTCAGGGATGGAGTGCATATACCATCAGTCAGGAATTCCAGAGTTTATGCATGGACAAAGAGGATTCCCTACGTAGTGTATTTGTCCTTCTTGCTTTTTAAGAGGCTTATTAAGGGGTAAATTGTCAGAGTGAAGTCTGACAATTCCGTGAGGGTGACTTGTGTTTCTCATCAAGGAGACATGTGGTCTAGGGCTCCTTGTTTTTGAATTTTGGACCTTCTTTCTTGGGACCAGTTCTATTTTATCACTCTTCTAACTTGCCAGAATAGATGTTGCATTGCAAGATTCTGTTGGATTGCCTCTCATTTTCCAACTCTAATTGGTGGGTTGGCCTTTCATTGGCTCACCCAACTTCTGGCAATTTGGTCTCCAGTACCTCATCTTCGAGCTTTGGCAGTAGATGCATTCTGTCAAGACAGGATGTGATTACAACTATAACTCTTCTCTCCACTTTATATGTTACTCAATCTATTGTCAGATTCTGTTGATAACACCAGATTGGCTGCTACACCTGGGTTTCTGCATCTGCAGTCCCTTCCGGTGTGTCCAACTTTTCCACTTCTTTTTTTAGGCTCTCCCTGTGAAGGCAGCCATCATCTGATAAGGTACTCCCAGCTATCCAGAAGCTTAAGCTTCTGGTATAGTGGTTTATGCTGTCTTTCACATGGCATCAGGGGTTTAATCTTTAGGGTTGCCATGTATCTGTCTTAATTTGTGCTTAGTCCGCAAGGCACATGTATATCGGCAATGGTGTATTGAGAGGAGGTGACCTGCAAGTTATGTCTAATCAGATTTGTCACATTTATATGTTCTTAACAGCCCAGTTGAATTGCCCGCTAGAGGTCATTGTGTGAACCTCCCCCAATATCTTTATCTCGCATTATCTGCTTGATCTGGTAGTCTATTCATTGGAGGTTTTTGCCTACCCCATGTAGCTATCTTCACTGTTTCTGCTAGATTATCTAGTATTTTTGTTTCTACCTTTTAGGATCTCTTACCTTATTTTCACAGGATCCCACTCAGTGGTGAGTGTTGCCCAGAAAGTTGTGTTTCTATCAAACCAATTTTGCATTAGCAACCATTTATTCAATATAATCTATTCAGGCTCTGTAGAAATGAGGTGTTCCATAAGAGCACCTAGGAGCTGACCAGGTGGTATTAATGGTATTAGTGGTATGGATTGAATAAATCAAGGTTGGCTTGCTTTTAAAAATTTAGGGAACTTGGTTCACCTATTGTACTATTTCCAGAGCACTGTTCCTAAGGGCTCCCAACATGCATTACTTCCCCAATTCTACTAGTGGAGCTAGGGAGTCCTTACCACACTCTTGGAGAAGAAGGTGAAGTTGCAGACCCTTTTACCCGAGTCCTTGAATGTTTTCTCAGATGCTGGTAAGAGTGGCACCAGCCTACGCAGAAGCCTACTTGGCTATCTGGTTGGGGTGTGCATGGGCCTTCTTTTTGATCAATATAGATTCAGTACATTGTTCAAGGAAGGGGGTCCACTATCTCCATGTAATTTCCAATGCGGAGTGGTCCCATCCTGGGTCCTTGGTTGAGCACAGTTGTTCCATGTTCTCCCCATAATCCTGTGGGCAAGTGGAATGTATCTTGTCCTCACTGTTGGGGAGTGAGGATGAATGTTCATAACTCCAGACAGGTTGGGTTCTGTTTTCTTCAGTTGAGTAAGGCATATATGATCCCGTCATTCCGAGCCTGGGGTAATGCCTTTTGGACTTCTTTAGGTGGAGGAAAAGGTTCATCCACTTTGGTGTTGCTTACTTTCTCATCGTAATTCCAGTGGCTCAGAATGCATCAGTCTATGGCTACAGGTTGGGATCCAATCATAAATATATATATCTATAATGTTGCAGTCCAATTGCCCTAGCTACCAACAGGGGATATAGGGACCAAGACCCCTTAATTCCAACCCCTAGTAGTGGACCCTCAGCTATCTGGTTGTGGCTGGTCTATAGTGATGATTACTCATGTACAATTCTACTAATGATACAGGAATTCGGTTCTGGGTGAAGAACATCCATGTTCTGGATGTAATGCGGTTCCTCCACTAGGATGCCAATCTTCTTTTGACACATCCATGATCTGTGCAGACTCTTTCTGTATGGATAATGCCCTCACCGGCCCCCTCACCTTATCAATGTGGGATTCTAGCTATAAGTGGAAGGTATGTATGTTTTGGAACTGAGAAAAATCAGACCAATGATTAGATGGGCAAAGGAAGAAATCCTGGTGGTTGAGTAATAGCTATAAGTCTGAGAGGAGATAACTATTATTGGAAATACATTTTTAATTTAGGAAAATATTTACTTTTTTACCAAAAATGCATGTGCTTATCTTACAGCTAGCATATCTGAGCAAGAACTGAAGGTGTCACAGAAACTGAAGGAAATTGTGGACAGACAGAGAGAGCAAATTGATCAGAAAAACAGAGAACTTAATCAAAAAAGTAATGATATTGATGCTGTAAGTAACTTTTGGTAAAATTGGTGCTATAAATACCCCTTTGAGATATACATAAAATCCTGTAAAGTACCCAGTAATGGTACTATTCTGTAACTGGTTTGTTATTGTGTGTTGTGCACATTTTATAATGATAAGTATACTCTAAGTATCCTGTGATTGTACGTATGTTGCAAATATGTTGTGTTGATTATGCTTTACGTAATCTTTATTGATACTGATGTAATAACCTTTTGCATCTGGTAATGATCTAATTTTTGTGGTTTATTATTGATGCTGTAAATGTCCTATACTGAAATGTGCAGATATGTCATTCATTTTAGCAACGATATTCATTGTTTATGAAGCCTGTAACAATAATAATGCTACAACTCCCTTTTTTTTAAGTATATGAAGTTAGTTCATGTATCTTGTAATGATATTTGTGTAAGAAGCAATCTCAGAAAGTTTTTTATCATTTTTATAGAAAGAATATTCACAACTTCTAATATGAGACATTTTATATATGAATAATAACATTAAATGAGTTAATTTTTTGTTTTTGCAACTTCATCAGTAATTATATATATATATGTCAAAAGTCATAACACACACACACACGCAAACACACACACACTTCATCATAATAGTCTTAACTATATCAAATTTTAATCAATTGAGGAAAATTCTTACTTAAATTTTAATCTTTTTGTAATAGTTGTGATAGTTACTTTCATATTTCGCGATTGATCCCCAAGTAAGTAGCAGCAGAATTTTGTAATGTTACATAAGTACCTGTAAATTATGCACTGCTATAAAAAAAAAACATGAAGGTTCTCTAGCCTAGAAGAAATGTGGGATTAATTGTGTTGTGTGTGCTGTATAGTTTTTGTAAGCTTGAAATTAGTGTTGCTGAGAATAGGATAACAAATTACTAGTAAGTGGCATTCATTGTGAGGGTCAGCCTGAAGGAAAGAATTTTAAGCCTTAGCGGAAGGTAGCACAGTCTGAGTGAACTGACTTCTGTGAAGAATTGCAAGTTTCACGTTGGAGGCTGAAGGGAAAGGCCTGGTAGAATAGAAGCATTATATACAGAAAACAGTTTTTGCTGCAGAGAATTGGAATGAAGAGATATTTGTGTGGGAGTTTCCTGTTTTCTTCTGTTGTATAATTGTCACCTTAGTAGAGGTATAGGACGTAAAGCTTTTCCGGGTTTGGAAATTGTGGATGTTAAAGGACTACATGGTCTGTATAACATGGACACTTAATGGAGAAGATGTGCAAGTTTCAAATAATTCATAATGGAAGGGAATGCTAAACTTACACCAGTATAGATAGCTAATAAACATCAGATAATCTAACCTATATAAAAGCCAGTGAGTGTCACATCACGCTCGAAATAGGAGGAGTCGTAAAAGCCGAAACGCATTTGTTCAGATATAATAGTTCAATTACTGTTTGCCCATTATGATTTAAGTGACTGGGGCACAAGGGGGGGCCATGAGGAGGGTGTGTGTGTGTGTGATGTGACACCTCATAAGTGTAGTCAGCATTGGTATAATAAGGCTAAAATATAGAAGTAGTGTGAGATCGCCTACCCTACAGCCAATTGCATAAAATTTATCTTAAGTAAAAATATCGATTAAATTTTAAACTTTAAATTATTTCTGAATTAAGCTATTTTCTGTTATATCACCAACATTTTATTTAAAGAATAAAACTTTTTTAATCAATGGAGAATCTAAATCAAGAAATCTACAAATATTTTTCAAGTTATGTTGTCTATACATTTTATTTTATACTTTCATTACATAGACTAACAACAATATTAGGTTATACTTTGTTGCCAAGGAACATGACATAAAAGTGATCGTTGGAACAAGTGTTACTAAAATGCACTGGCTTTCCTGTATATTAGAAGTTGTTAATTTAACTGATTTTTACCAATATTTATTTTATGGATATGCTACAAATTCCTTTCATAAATGATCTTAATTTTGATTAGCCCACAAATGGATGTACTGATGGTAATACATGTGCTCCAGCCTCTGGGTAGTCCTATCTGCGGTTGACATTGCATTGGTTACTACAAGCCACTCCTGCTTCTCCACCTCCTTGGGGTTGGGTCCTAGTAGGTTGGTGCAGTGTGGGGTAGCTTGGCATGGGTTGTATGGGACGTCCCACTCAAGTTGCCTTCGGGGAGTGGCTGATCTCAACAATCTTGATATAGACCTGTAGTCTATAATGCACACTGTTGAGATGGGGTGTTTCACAAGATTGCTCGTAGGTTTCCTCGCTATATATTTGTTTCATAAGTATACCCATTCCAGTCCATAAAAACCCATGGACATTCATTGGTAAAGCAGAAGGGGATGCCTGCCCTTTCCTGCTGTCCCTTAGATTGAATAAATCAGAGGCAGTCTGCTTTTCAAAATGTGGGTTTTATGGTCACCCGTTGCACTATCACCAGTGTTGGTGTTTCTCCGGACTCACCACCGCATTCCCCCACTCATGTTCTTCCAGTGGAGTATGAGAGTTTTTGTCACATTCCAATTCCAAGCTGCTGAAGTGGTGAAACATGGAGGCATCCTCCTGAATGTGATCATTTCCATTCAGTAGAAATTGAGGCAGTGGTGTTCTGCTGGTGTAGATGGTATTGATCCTCCAATCATGTACTCAACCTCTATGTGGTGGGTCCCAGAGGTTGATGCTGCACCCAGGTTCTGTGCAGTTCTATCTCGAGTGTAAGGTTGCATAAATTTTTTTAGAATCAACCCACTTCAATGCGGTGGGACCAGAAGGTTGGCATTGCACTCCAGCTTCTGTGCAGTCCTATTTGGGGGATGATGATGTGCATATTTCACTAAAACACTCCACATCTGTGCAGTGAGTCCTGGAGGTTGATACTGCTCCCAGCTTCTGTGCGGTTCTTTCCAGAGGATGAGGTTGCGTATCTTTTACAGAGGTGATCCACTTCCGTGTGATGCAGCCTGAAGGTTGATGGTGCACTCCAGCTTTAGTGCAGTCCTAGCAAGAGGATGATGTTGCTTTAAAGTTGATCTGTCACATTGCTGTTCACCCCTCTGATTGAGATACCTCATCCTACCATCACCTGGATGTTTGTTCCCAGTGAGTGGTTTTAGACATTTTGGGTATAGAGGGCAGCACTGAACAAGAATAGCTTGTATGTGTGAGATGAGGTAAGTATCTATCAGAAATAAATTTACAGTTAAGGAAAATTATAACTTCCAATTCCAACTAGTGTGCATTGATTGTAATTTGCATTATCTTTGGCAGATATCTTTTGAAACATGGAGGGTGCCCGAGTTATCATGGGTAAATCATGGAAAGGGTTAACCAACCCAATTGGATACCTTTTAACTCTTCTTTCTTCAAAAGAAAAGAATTTCAAAGATCTTAAGCCATCCTAGTAGGACAACCATTTCATCACAGATATCATCGTAATAGCCCTCCTCTGAATCCTTTTCAACAATTCAGTGCAAAAGACTGAATGTAATATTCCATATGTGGCCTAACCCTAACCTGATATATATATATACAATGAAATTATAACCTCTTTAGACTTGTATTCAATATTTCTGGTTCACATACTGTTCAGGCTTGTTTCAGTTTGACAACTGTTCAGGATGAAAAATATTGCTTAAATTTTCATTAGTACAAATGAAGAAAAAAGTTCCATTACTTTGCATTTATTATAATTAGAACAGGATTTCCAATTCATGTCACCTGATCTCGGGACAACAAGATTTGAACCAGTGACAACAAGTTTTTGTTTCACTTTGTCTGTTGCACAAGTAGTTTTATTGTTTTATCTCTTTTTAATAAAGCTTTAATATTATGGTGTTTTCCTGCTATATAAAACTGCATTGCTGCACTGCAATGTATATTTCACAAACATTAATATATAAAGTACAAAATATACTATAACAACAGCAACTTGAGGGAAGCTCAAAGTTCACTATTGTTTACTGTTCCTATGTATTGTGTTTGCTGAGCATGTGTGTGTGTGTGTGTGTGATGAAAGGGTGGGGGGCATATGTTGCAGTGGATATGTCGGCCATGTTTCTGCATGTGTTTGGATGCAACAGGTTGCAGATGGTGTATTGTTGAAGTTAATAAAAAGAAGAATTAATTGGTAATTGTTCATCATTGTATTGAGGAGGGTTGGAATTACAATACCTTCTGTTTGATAAATTATGCTATAAAATAATGCAGTGTTCATATGAACCTTAAAAGATTTCGTTAGATCAGTTTATGAAGTAAATACTCTACCTAAGTAGTTTGACTGGTAAAAAAATATATATTACACCTACTGTTTATACAAGAATAAATAAATAAATTATTAATATTCCAGTACATCAAATTCCAAAAGTGGAATGAGAACAAGAACAGAAAAACAGTCTGAGGGAAGTCAAAGTGGAACATAGTATACAGTTCTGTGTTGAATTCACAATGACAAAAGTAACTAGTTTAACATGTAATTTAAATATAGCCATGGTAAAGAAACCAACTTGCAAGTAGACAGAAGAGTTAGATGAATTTCATTCAAGTTGCACTGCAGTGCAGACATTTAATTTTTTCTGTCATGTGACTGTTTTAAGCCAATGAGGACACACAAATTGCATACTATAAATGAAGCAAGGAAGTGTGGTATAGAAGTGGATCTTAAAACTTTATAACACAATCTTGATTGCGTTAAAAGGGTAAATCATGTTTCAGAGTCTTTTAAGTTTTGGTTTCAGCAAAAAAAGAAAGAAAAAAAGTGAAGAAAATGGAGTCAAAAAAGAAAGAGGTATGTCAACTAACTATTAGTGATAATTTTGCATCTGTCAGTAGCAGCAGTCAGCTCCTTTGCAACAGAAAATAAAAAATAAATTTAAAAGAAAAGAAAAAGTGTTTCCAGTCTCATGGCCATGGTTAGCTTTTAAGGAAAACCAGTCTACAAAATTTATTGTGAAGTTTACCAGAAATATCCTACAATACCAGTTAATCACCCTGGAATACTTTCTTGAATGGATGTAATGAATTCCAAATGGAGCCAATCAGAGCACATGTGCCAGCAAAATGTGTCATGGTACAATTAGGAGAATACAAAATTAGACAATACTGCTATGGAAACTGTGAGTTCTCCCAGTTCTACAACTTAACCTGGGAGAACTCCTTATTGTGCAGCCTTGCACAAATTAAAGGAGGTGGAAAAGAAGAGACTTAACAGTGTTGTTTAACAATTCTTGTTTAATTGCTAGACAAGACAAACCTCTTTTAATCATGGAATTCCTGTGCAGAGCAATGGAGAAGGCTTCTGTGGATGTAGGAAACAATCACTCCAAGAAAAGAAAAGCCTCTGATGAATTCATTAGGTGTGAGGCAGAAGTCCTTAGATGTAACATCAAGGATATCAATAGTGTATCCTGTGTATTGTAGCCGATTGGAGTACAGATCATACCATAATTGAATAGGAAATTGTGCTAGGTTGTCAATGGAGGAAAACCCTATACAGTATTAACAGATCTTGTTCTACTAGAACGTGCACATTCATTAGGTATCCTAGATGGTGTTGTTAATGGATTTAAGAAGCTGTCTTTAGATTTGACACATTTGAAATCTCCTCAAAAATCAGGTCTGGTATTAATATCTGTTAATTTTGATGGTGCAACTGTTATTACGCATTCTAAAGGTGGTGTTGCAGCATTACAAAAAAAAAAAAGATATTTTATTTCTACTCCCCTACTACTTTGTAGTTCACAACCTTCAGCTGATAGTTCTAGGTACAGTGGAATCCTTTTCTCATATTGCTCAGTTTGAAGAAAGTTTGAAATGGTTTTTTAAATTTTACTGGAATAGCTGAAAAAAAAGGAAAAGATGTGAAAAATAAATTGCAAGGGTTCTAGATGAAACTTTGCTCACTTCAGTGATATTAAACAGATGTGTGATGAGTCTCAAACAAAGTAAGTTTTCAATGCCATGCAACAAAACCTGCAGATTGTAATTTTGCATTTAGGTGAAGTTAGTAGTGGCAGTGATGAGTCAGCAGATAAGACAAGGAAGATCCTTGTTGAAGTCACTAGTATCAATTTCATCAAAACTGTATTATCTAAGAGATATCCTAGAACCAGTATCACATCTTTCATAAACCTTTTAGTGTAGTGACCTACTGTTGATACATGCCCAACCTGCAATGGAACGGTAAGTCTTAACATTAGTAGAACTGAAGAATGACTTGGGTGTACACATACAGCAGGTTTCTTAAGATGTATCACCATGTGACACCTGGGAGATGCAGTCTTCCATAGGTGTGCCCTTATGGATCACCTGCCATTGGATGTCACACTCTATGGGCTCTCCCTTTGAGCACTTTCTGAAGGGAACTCATCTAAATTTAATGTTTTACCAGTCATTTCGTAATTTCAGTGTGGGGTTCTAGCTATTTTGTATGAGGAGGTGAGGTATCGTCTTGGAAGTTCACATTTTTCTTATCCTCAAAGTGTGTTTCTGACATTTATCTCCACACACCTTTCCATGTGTCTTTTCTACTTCCTATGCACTTTCTTCTTGCCTTGTCTAATAATGTACATGTACTTAAGGGGAGTTACTGCGCAAGCAGGTTGTGTCACCCTTCTATTAGTGGTGGGCTTTCATCACATAATGATGTCATCATGCCCTAGCACAGTTTATGTTAAACATGATATTCAGGTGTGAGTTAGCTCAAGGCTAGTAGCATGCAAGTCTTGTAGACAGATGCACGATAGATCAAACTATTCTGTGTGTAGAAGTGAGTATCTATCAGAAGTGCATTTGCAGGTAAGGAAAATATTAATGTTAAACATAAGTTATATTTCATTTGTTTGTGTATTTTATGGGATAATCATGGGACAAGTAGAATTTTCAAGCATTTTGTTCCATGGAAAAGATATTTATGTTTTCAAAAATAAGCAACTCCTGTTAAAAGCCATTTTTTCACCCAGTTAAACAAATGACCTAAATCCTTCTGTGAAGCAGGAGCAACATCCTTACAGTCAGCAGTGTTGAATACATCAATATTAGCAAATTTCATTAATGTAAATTGAAAAGAGTAGAGGTCTTAAAACTGAATTCTGAGGTGTACTCCACTTGTGACATTAATTCAGATTGACTGAACTCCATTTATAACAACTCTCTAGTGACCTTTCTATCTAATGAGTCGACTTATCCCCCACACCTATAGAGATCCTTTTTTAACAAGCCTTTTATGTGGGGTACCTTGTCAAATACTTTCTGTTATTCCAGATATTCCAAATCCACAATCGTACCCTTATCTACGTAAGCAGTAACCTTTTCAAAGAATGTCAAAAGAATAGTAAGGCAAGATTTCCCTATAGTGAAACCATGTTGACTATCTAACAAAGTTTTAAACTTTGTTGGCAGGCAGATCTTTAATTTGTATTGAATTATGCTAGTGTATAGCATGTCTCAAAATCAAAATGGGCAAATTATACAGTTCTGAAAAATCCTTAATATTGGCTCTGTTTTCATTATACTTGTAAGGCCTAACAAGTCTCCTTTTTATACAGAATTTACTCATTTCACACCACTTCACTAAAATGTATTGGTCATGAGAACTAGGTTAGCAAAAGCATGAAAGTAAAAATCACTTAGTATTTTGGTGAATAGTAAATGTACATAGTTAACAATTATGTATTTTGTGGTTATTTGCTAATAGCTTTATTTTTTGTAATTTTCTTAAAATTTTAGACTTGCATTAGATGTTGTTTTTTGTCACATGTATGCCCATTTGAAGCTTGATCCCCTTTATACGTATCTTTATTATAGAATGTCCTTTCTGTCTTGTTTTCCCTACCTGATATTATATCCATCTGTATTATCAGATCCAGCAACAGGTTCAAAAGCTGGTGCATTTAAATAAGGACTTACGAAGGAAACAGAAACATCAACAGCATCAGATGAGAGCCATTGTTGAAGAAAAAGCAGAATTGCAAGTGTGCCTTGAAGATTGCCAGAGGGAGATTCAGCAGTTACATGATCAACTGGGGATAGCAATGAAAGAAAACCTCGAACTGGCACAAGCTGAAGTAGGTGGGAAGGAAAAAAAAAGTTAACTTATAGATCTTGTTAATTCAGTGTGGTCAGTTTTGACTTGTTTGTTCCTAATTGAAATAATTGTACCAAACACGTTACTATAATTTCATTATGTAGACATATTGCAAATTTTGTACTGAGACAATTTTGAAAGAATGTAAAACTCTACTACCTGAACTAACATGTCTATACCTCTTACTTAACTTTTAAATATATTGTTTTATGATATTGCATATTGTTCCACTGAGACAACTGTTAAATTAATGTAAGATTACACTATGTGAATTAACACATCCATACACTGCTAAATCTATACATTGTTTTATTGTAAATTGTTATATTTATACTCTTAGACTGCTATTTAGAATTAGTTACATTATCTACAATGTTATTATTCTCTTAGTTCTGATCTATTTATTTAGTTTGCTTAGATCAGAAGTTGTTCAAAGTTAAATTATGTTAAGTGAACTAACATATAAGATTTATATCATTCCCTAAGTAAATTATTGTAAATTTTTATTGTTCACAGGGTGAACTAGTGCCAGATTTGAGAGGAAAGATGGTGATAGACTTAGATGACCCTGCCAGACCACGGTTTACAATAGCCGACTTGAAAAAAGTCATTTTTGAGAAAAATGAGCTGAAAGCTAAGATCAGTGAGCTTGAGGATGAGTTGAAATTATACAAACCAAGTCTTCCATCAAGGTAAAACTGTTGTCTTTGTTTGTGTCGAAATATTGTAAGTAAAATGTGATTTTCATAATTCTTAAAAGTTAAAGGTAAAACTCAAATTTTCTGAGAATGTAAAGTTTGAATACCTGGCAACACACTTGATGATGGGAAAACCTGTACCTTTGTGTTGATCAAACAATATAGTTCTGATCTGAGACTACTAACAGGTGTTTCAAACAAATAATATTACGTAGAAAACATTATATATAAAGTGACAGCTAATAGAAGGGTAATAGACTTTTACATTATGTAATTGGTATAAAAAAAATTTGATTTAAAATTAAATTGTTTAATGATAAGTTGGCAAACAATGGTTTATAGGCATAATGAAGTGATTTATTTTTGGGAGAATATATTACATCTTTCAACAGACCAATGTTTTGTTGAAATATGTTGCATGTTCCCCCCCAAAATAAATTACTTCATTATGCTTATAAATTGTAATTTGCCAACTTATCATTATATTAGTGTAATATGCTTCCTTATTCAAGTAAAATTATATTCTTTAAATATAAATTTTATATCTGCATGATATTTAAGTAATTTTAGAAGAAAGTAAATCTAGAATGAAAAAGCGAATTTGATAGAAACCTGAAACTGTTATTATAATACATTTTTAGGTCAGACATTCAATCAGATATTGTACCTCCAATTGAGGATCTTCCAGTGCAAGGACCCATAAACAGAGAACCAGACGAAAAACTTTTCCGATCAACCAGAACTTCTGGCATTCATCGGTTGTAAGTACAAGTGGATTTTGTGGTTTTAAACTGTTATTATCAATTTTTTGATACTTCTAAAAAAATCCAAGGACTGTTGTCAGTCTGTAAGTACCATTGAAAACATTTGTTAAACTTTGACTACTATGATCATATTCTGTTAGTATAGGTTATTATAGGAGTTCTTGCACTTTTCCTCTTTTTGTGGCATAGACTTACATCCATCTTTTATAAGTTATTATATAAATATGTCATTATATTTTCATTCAAAGTTTAAGAAGCTTTTCTGAGCTTATTATTATCTTGAGAATCAATTATCCTATAATAACTAGTTTGAAATGTAAAATTTTAGGAATGACGTTGCTTTAAATACAATCTTTTAAGAAAGAAATATCAAGAAAACATTTTTCGAGTTTAAAATAGATTTTCTCAGAATTGGGTTAGTATTTAACACTGGTATTACCATAATATGAGGCCAGATCTGGAAAAAATTAACAATTTTTGAGAAATTGAAAATATACAAAAATATTGACTACATTGTTATAGCAGTTAGTTGTAATTAACATCACATCCAACTAACAATATATATATATTAAATTTTACAGGTGTACATATATTTGTAGAAATATACTAAATGTTAAGTCTGTCATGATTGAGAAATGTTTGTGTGAAAGAGTAAAAAGTGTTATTAACAATTTTTAGGTTTAAAATGAATAGTAGATAATAAACTTTGATCAGCATAGAAGTAATACTGCTAGTTCTAAATAAGAATTAAGGTGTAAGAAAATAAAAGGGTAGGTTTAATTCTGAGGGAAAAGAAAACTTAGACCAAAAAGTAATTGCAAAATATTAGTCTAATCATATAGGCCTAGCCTAAAAATGCATTTATGTAACAATGTATGTTTTTGTAGGCTAGTGTAGACAACAAAGCCTGTGATGAACAACAAAAGTGTAATTATAAACATTAGCTTTGGATTTTCTGTGTTAATGCATTGTTTCAAACCTGATGTTTATTGACTAGAATAGTTGCTTAGGATTTAATATGGAAAAATAAATATTGTAGAAATAATTTTTGTTTTATTTTCTTCCATGCTTGTGCCTAGTTTTCGCTTTATTTTACGGAGCTGATACCATCTCTACAGATCCTTGTTCAAGTTTTCCATTGTGAACTGGCCTAGTCTTATCTCATTTTGCAAGAGGTTTCTTGATGGTACCGTCTATGGGCAGAAAAGGACACAAAAATGATTAATTTCACTGGATAGGTAATACTATCCTTTCATGGCTAGCTCTGTTAGCTGTATGGATAACTAATTAGATCATTTAATGAAATTACAAGCTTTTTAAACTTGTAGCACTTTATATTTTTAACCAATTTGGAGATGATTCTAGTAAGTGTAGCAATATTTAATAAGAACGTTTCATAGTTTTGTTTATTCCAAGGTAAAAAATGTGTGAAACTTTGAATAATTTATGGTATTGGCTAGTTAAATATGATCTACTTATGCAAATTATAAAACATTTTACTGAACATGCTACTGGTTCTCTGAACCATTCATCTGTGCAAGGTTTTGGGGGAAGTTTTCTATGTACTAGATAATTAGGATATGGACCATCTGTATTATTTCTTGTCACATGGTTTAAATGTGGCATGTTTACTTTATGAATACAAAAAAAGGTGGATTGAATTACTGGGAAGCAGAATTCTTTAGAGAATCTACACTTTTGGATAAAAAAAATTCAATATATAATATTTTTTAGTTTAAAATTGCCAAGTTGTTTAGGTCTGAAAGTTGTTCTCAGGAAGAAAGTGGTTTTCAGAAAGTAAACCACCAAATTTGTGATACACTTGAAAATATAAACATTTGGATACTGTGACTGTGTGTGTGTGTGAAACAAAAATTATATCTTGTACATACATTTCAGGTGTAAATTTAAAAGTACAGAAAGGTGCTATGGTTTCTTACTGCTCTTAAAGAGTTAGAATAACTGTGTTATCTTATCAAGTTCTGGAAAGAAAACTCTTATTGCATACAAATCTTGGAACTGTTGAGTTTGTCACTAGTACATTAAACATTTAATAATAGTAGGCTTCATTATACAAGCTTCATAATGCAAATGTCAGTTAGTAAAATCTAAAGAATTAAATTATAAAGAAATTGTTTGGTGTATGGATAAGCTTTGCACCAAGCTTTTATAACTACTTCCATTAAGAAGCATAGTATAGATATCTCTCATGGAAAGAGAGATACCACATACCAGTTAATAAAGTTATATTTATTTATTTTTTTGATTCTTTCTACAATCTGATTATTTTCCCAACATTTATTGTAAAAAGTTATCCTGACTGATTGTTAGTTTTAAGATGTATTGCATACTGAGACATTAGTTGTAAGCATTTAGGAATGAGTAGAGAATTCTGGCCAGCTATAATACAGACTGATTAACATACAGAATGCATGATGTAATTCTTATCAGCAACCAGTGAATTTTATATGTCACTGTTTTGTTTTTTTAAAAATGCAAAATAACTAAAAAAAGTTGGAAACATTTTCACTGGTTAAGTGGATTTTAGGGTAGCTTGCAGTTAGTAGTTATAGTAACTCTAGGTTTTATTTAAATTTTATTAAAAAGGTTTGTCCTCAGTGAGCTTGTCTGGAGTTTAGTTTTATCAGATCTTGAAGACCTCTGGCTGAAAATGTGTTTTTCCAAATATACCAAGTTAGGTAAAACTCCCTGAATCTTCTAATATAATCATTGATACTTTTTTTCTCGTACTTTGCTGACAATTCTGTGACTGGTTGGGTTACATAGCTTGTCTGGAGTTTAGTTTTATCAGATCTTGAAGTTAGGTAAAACTCCCTGAATCTTCTAATATAATCATTGATACTTTTTTTCTCGTACTTTGCTGACAATTCTGTGACTGGTTGGGTTACATAACGAAATTCATAAGTAATTTATTTGGAAAGGTGTGCAATATTTTTAGTGGCATTTAAAATGCTGTAATAGTTTGGTAATGTAGTACTTTACTCAGAATAAAAATTGCCATGAATGTCGTTCATGTACTTATCCTTGTAAGGGTAGGAAAGCAGTTTGTCTGACTTTATTTTGATCTGGTTAACATAATGTGTGACAAGTATTAAAATTTGGATGAACATACTTTTTTCCTCCCATACAATTTAGTGTTAAAAACAACTTGTTCTTCTCACACTGACAGTGTATGATCTTGTTTTCTTTTTCAGCTGTTATTATGAACTATAATTTAAGGAAAAAGTTAACTGAAATACAAGAAAAGTGAAAGGCTATGTGTCTAATGTAGTTATTAATTTTGTTGAAACACGAAGAAAAAGTGACGGGAATTCAACTTCTACAGTAAAATATTGATGACTTTTGTTAATTTTATTTCTGTTTTGAAATTTATATGTAAGTTCGGTAATTTAAATGTATAAGAAAAGTGCCACACAAAAATCAGCTTGGTGGGCTAAACCTGCTTCTGGTCTGCAGTTTGAGGAATAGAATCTTGACAATTTTAAGTACCCAAATTGCTCTGTGATATTACATTATTGTGATTTTTGATTGCTTAAAAAGGTTAGTATATTGTCACACAAGTTTATGAATTATATGTATTAATATTTTTATAGCAGCTAGTAAGTTTTGGTAGTTTAATGACAATTTTGCTTTAACTAGTCCACGGCAGGTTGATATGATGGTGCTTGTATAAACTAACCTTGTTTAATGTTGAAACATTTTTTGGCAATAACCAGTGGTCAAATGTTCCAAGTTTCTACTGTATAACTTGCTTATGTTTTATTCAATTAAGAGACCTTGTATGTATTTCAAGAAACGTTTTTGACATTGAGTTTCTTTAAGTACTAAAGAACAAGAGTTGGATTATTTTGCATCTAAATTTTTTTTAGATATAAAACTTCGACCTTATTTTATTGTCTTACATAATTTTTTTTTCAATCTTGTCCATCACAGTGACTAATGGATAAGAATTAAATAAAAATACAATTTTACTCGGTGTTTGTGTTAATTTACTATTAAATGGAACCTTTTCTTGTTATTGAGCTAATTTAAACGTACAAGCACACAACACTGAATCACATGCAAACAGTTTTCTTTCTTGAAAGAAAAAGGGGGTTAAACTGATATTAACCTACAAATTGGTTTCCCTCTCAGGCTATTTTTTTTTATAGTAAAAATTCCAAAATTTCATTTTATAGCTTCATTATGACATTACTAAAAATGGTCTTCCATGATGGTATGGTAAATAACAATGTTTGGACTTGTGTCTGAGTATATACAGCTAAGACTAATTTGTAATGACTTTGTACAGTTTTTGCTACAACTAGAACTTGTATACTCTTTTGTTGCTTTTTCAATCTCTTTGATGCAATAGCTTTTTTTATTTTATGTTATTAGTGAAACAGTTCTATCCAGTGTTGATGTTGAGCTTTAGATTATATTGTTAGCTCAACCTGAGTGATTGTATAATTTTGAGGAAAATAATTAATGTTTCATATAATATATTTTTTTGATAAAAAAGTTAGCGCAAAGGATCACGTATAGACTGTAATAGACTTAAAATAAGACCCAAAACTCGAGGGCTTTCGATTAGTTGACTATTCGAAAGCACTCAAGTTTTGAGTCTTATTTTAAGTCATATAATATATGTTATGTACAGACATGCATTAATATTTAAGAGTATCTACAGTATTTTTTGCAGTATACTTGTACTAACCAAACCTTTATCTAACAAAAATGTGATGTAGAATCAGTTAATTCTTTAACTTCTTTAAATATATTTCATATTATCAGTTTATTACCTGCCATAAAATGTAACCATATATATTATAATTTTCAGTTACTTTCAAGGCTAACCAACTGTATACTTTGTAGTCTGTATATCAAATTACCTGTATCAAATAATAAATGTTACCTTGCTATAGTTGGGTACTTGTACAACTTCAGAAAAACTAGCGAGTTAATTACATTTAACAGAGAAGAACACATCAGACAAATATTAAAATTTAACCAATAACACAAGCTCTTATCCCAGGATGAAAAATACAACATTTAGCATCAGCTATGATATAATAGCACAAAGAAAAGAATTTCAAAACAATCAAGAGGTGTAAAAAATAATCTGTAAAAACCATTTTACGTGAATAACTATTAACCAAAAATTTGAGAAAAGAACCATACAAGAAATTTGTGTTCACAGTCTTTAATTTTGAAGATATTAAAGTTATTACTTCTTGATTATGTATTTTATATAAATGAAAATTTGGTTTCTACAGTATAACAAAATTGCTGTTTAGTTTAGTTAATTTTATACGTTTCAGGCAAAAATATTTCAAAATATGCATTTTTGATCGTAAAGATGTTTTTATTGTATTTCCTATATAGACAAGCATGCTAGTTAAAGGATGTCAAACTGAAATTATTACTTACCTGATGGCATTACTGGGCAAATAGAGAAACTGGTTGTTTCTCACAAAGTACAGATATACTTTGAGGACAAACCAAATGCTTGATGAAATATGACTATACTACAAAATATAAAGAATTTAAGCTGTTTAACTTTGTAATTAATATACACACATACAAAACCACAATGTAATATATAAATCAAACATTAATAAACATGTAATTGAAATATATAGAACTTAAGAAGTCACTTTAGTTTTTTCTTCTGTTGCAAGCCATTCTGCTTCCTGACAAACTTTCATCCCTCACCATGCTTGTTCTTGGACCTTACATGAGTCCATTTCAGAGTTAGATTGATACAAATGAGTCTAATGTCAAAAAGTCCATGCTATATAAAAAACATCGCATACACAGTTTCACTGTGGCCTCTGTAGGTTAAAGACGTCATGATCACTAATGGTCATGGTAGGCTTTGATGGCACCTTCTGGTAGATTAACAAGAGGGAGTAAGTAGGCTGCTGGAATGATAATACCTGTCAGTTGGAGAAAAGCTATCAAACATAAGAGTCACAAAGTAAAGAATGTATAGCTTGAAATCACCACCTAACAACTAATGAGTATATTGATATTCATCTAAAGAGTAATGAAATTGGAGCTATAGATATGGATCTGACAAGAAGTGAATCTATAGCTGTAGATATCCACTTAAAAAGTAATTAATGTATAGCTACAGATATCCACCTTACAATTAACTAGTGGTGTATAAATGCAGATATCCACGTAAGAAATAATGAATATATAACTTGATATCCAGGTAAGAAATAATAATTAAATAACTATTGATATCCACGTAAGAAATAATGAATATATAACTATTGATATCCAGGTAAGAAATAATAAATATATAACTATTGATATCCAGGTAAGAAATAATGAATATATAACTATTGATATTCAGGTAAGAAATAATGAATATATAACTATTGATATCCAGGTAAGAAATAATAAATATATAACTATTGATATCCAGGTAAGAAATAATGAATATATAACTATTGATATCCAGGTAAGAAATAATGAATATATAACTATTGATATTCAGGTAAGAAATAATGAATATATAACTATTGATATTCAGGCAAGAAATAATGAATATATAACTATTGATATCCAGGTAAGAAATAATGAATATATAACTATTGATATTCAGGTAAGAAATAATAAATATATAACTATTGATATCCAGGTAAGAAATAATGAATATATAACTATTGATATCCAGGTAAGAAATACAAAATATATAACTATTGATATCCACGTAAGAAATAATGAATATATAACTATTGATATTCAGGTAAGAAATAATGAATATATAATTATTGATATTCAGGTAAGAAATAATGAATATATAACTATTGATATTCAGGTAAGAAATAATGAATATATAACTATTGATATTCAGGTAAGAAATAATAATTAAATAACTATTGATATCCACGTAAGAAATAATAATTAAATAACTATTGATATCCAGGTAAGAAATAATAAATATATAACTATTGATATCCACGTAAGAAATAATGAATATATAACTATTGATATTCAGGTAAGAAATAATAATTATATAACTATTGATATCCACGTAAGAAATAATGAATATATAACTATTGATATTCAGGTAAGAAATAATGAATATATAACTATTGATATCCACTCAACAAGTAATGAGTGTATAGCTATAGATATCAACCTAAGAAATAATGAAAGCAGAGCCATATATATCCACCTCACAATTAGTCAATGTATATCATTAGATATCCAACTGACACCCAACTACAGTTTAGCTATAGATATCAACCTAAGAAATAATGATAGTAGAGCCATATATATCCACCTCACAAGTAGTCAATGTATAGCTGATGAGTAAAGAGCGTATAGCGGTAGATATCGAGCTAACAAGTAATAAATTATAGCTATAGTTATTCATATAAAAGTAATGAAATTACACCTCTAGATATCCACCAAAGAAATCATGAATGTATAGCTTTAGATATCTTACTAACAACTAATGAATGTATCCACCTAACAACTAACGAAAGTATGGCTATAGATATCCATCCAGAAAGAAATTAATGCATAGCTATAGATATCCACATAAGAACTAACGAATGTATAGCTAATGAGTAATGAACGTATAGCTATAGACATCCAACTAACAAGTAACGAGAGTATAGCTACAGATATTCACATAAGAGCTAATGAAATTATAGCCATAGCAACTAATGAAAGTGTAGCTGTAGATATCCACCTAACAAGTAATGAATGTATGGCTATATATATCTATCCTAACAACAAACGAATGTAGATATATATATATCAATTCCACAAGTAATTAATGTATACCTGTAGATGTCCAATTAACAAATAATGAATGTATTACTATAAATATCTACCCTAATTGGATATCTACAGGTATACATTAATTACTTGTGGAATTGATATCTATATCTATACATTCGTTTGTTATCAAATAATGAAATTACAGTTATAGATATATATCAACCAAACAAGTGAATGTATATCTATAGGTATTCATCTAAGAAGTAAAGAATGTATAGCTATATAAATTCACCTTACTAATGAGTGTATAGATAGATAGATATCCACCTAACAGTTAATTAATGTATAGCTAATAAGTAATGAAAGTATAGCTATAGAATCCACCTAATAAGAAAAGAATATATCTATAGAAATCCATTTAAGAAGTACTGAATGTATAGATATATATATCCATTTATCAAGTATTGAATGTATAGCTATAGATATCTACCTAACGAGTAATGAATGTATAGGTATGGATATCCACATAATAATGAATGTATAGCTAAAGATATACAACTAAGGAGTAGTTAGTGTGTAGAGATATATATACAAGTAACAGATAATGAGTGTATAGCTATAGATATCCAACTAACAACTAACTAATGTAACGCTATAGATATCTACTTAACTAGTAATGAGTGTATAGCTATAGATATCCACCTAACAAATAGTGATATTATAGCTATAGGTATCCATTTAACAAGGAACGAATGTATAACTATAAACAACTGCCTGTTGTAAAAACCCAAGTGTAGAGAATGACGTTTCGAAAGTCATCCGAAGACTTTCAAAACGTCATCTTCTACACTTGGGTTTTTACAACAGGCAGTTACCATACATTTCGGCTTTACTCATCAAAGACTATTGTATACTTCACAAATATTTCATTTATGCTACCATGGCCTTTCCCGTAAATGCACTATCAAATATGGGTTAAACCATGGGAGTAATAATTGAAATAATTGTTAAATCTACAGGTGTCTTTGTTTTCCTCAATTTTGTAATTATAGTGTTTAACCAAATATTAATTGTTTCAAATATTAATTACATAGACCAGTTTCATGAACAATGCGTGGATTTATTTTATATTTTAAAACTTGAAATTAGGGATGGCTGAACTAGCCTGAAGATGACAATGGAAGGGAATGTATGGTATGTAAAACATATTTTGTTTCCTATCTTTTTTATTTAAGTAAGGGAGCATTTTTCATTCAACTAGAATTTTTTTTAAATATTTTTTTTCACATACACGTTTATAGGTGTGTGTGTAGTTTTGATTGGCCATGAAATGTGATTAAGTTCCTTTTACTCAAGGCATCTGTTGTCCTGAATAATTTTCCTATGGTGTTATGTGAATTTTCTTACAGTGTAAAGGAGGACTGTGATATTTTACACTAGCAGGTTAAGTGATACCTTGAGGTTATATACACCCAGATTTTGCATTTGTAATGACCATCAGGGACATAAGTAGCACATATATGGTGAGATGGATGGCATTATAGAACCGCATTTATATAATGCTATGCTCTCCTTGTCTAGAACAGTCTTCAATTCCAAAAGAGATTTCAACTCTCAACAGACTGATTTACGTCCAGTAAAAAGAATTGCATTTCGCCCAGTTCATTCGACAATTTGATTGTTTTCAATAAGTAAATATTACATTTTTTTACATTGTGTTTCGTCTCTTTCACCAAACTTAGTCAAAGTGAGAACTTAGATTTACTCATTAATAACCTTCCTGAACAAACCTCCGGTTATCCGCAGAAACTGGGTGAAAAGTGTATTTTAAGAATACCACTCTTGTAATAAAGCCCCATAAGTATTTGCCAATGTTCTTACACCATGAACGTCACAGGAAGTTGTATAGTCTCACAATTACTATATATTAGTTACAGAAACCTTGAATTATGATGAGCTTGCTTTTTATTTATAGCTTGCTTTGGTGGGTAAATGGATTTTTACGCAAGACATGTTTTTTTAATTTACAAAAGGCTTATATTTCTGTTATTGACTAGTCATACTTTTTCAGAATGAAGAAATTATCCAATTGTTGTAAGTATTCATTTTATTGCTTTACTGTTACACAGACAACAAATATAATAATGCTCTGGTATACACCCTGTTGACGATCTGAGGTACTAGAATAAAGACAACAACACTAGACTGTTTGAACTTCACAATTTAAATGTTTTCACAACATACTCTGGGTACTTTGAGAGAAAAGCAAAGTGTTAAGGTAAAAGAAAGGAAGTCAAATTCTCACTTTAAGATTTCGTAATAAGTAATTCATGTGCATTAAAATAATATATTATGTTTTTAAGTTATGTATTTCATACTTTACTCATTGTGATTTGGAATAATTTTCCAAAATCCATTTATAGTTTAATGTTAAAAACGTAAATATAATAAGTAGTCTGACCAATTCCAAATTGTTTCAATTATTTTTCTTCGTGCATACATTTAAAAATATACCTGAAGGTTTTACTGACAAATTTCTAATTGCATTATAGAATATTTAGTTGGTTTTCTATCCCCCACCCAAAGTTCTTTTCAGCAAAAATGTATTATTTATAAGTTTTGAACTCCTCCTTTGATACTTGCAAATAATACTCTTTTTAATAATACGTAATACAAAATTCAGTAACAAATGTGTGAAGTGATTCTTCTAGGAGAATGTGGGAAAAAGTTTGAATAACAAATAATACATACCAATAGGAAATAAAAATATGTATGCTTTGTTTCTATCATGACTTTTTCATGCAGGTAGATCAAATTAAAATATTAACATTAAATTTTATAACCGAAAAAATCTTCCTTCGTACAAACATATCTTGTTAGAAAATTATCGTCTGTCTCTTAAAACTTTACAGTTTGTCGCATGTAAGGTCATCGACCAGTAGTAATATTGAAAGCCTAAAATGTTTGAAATTACTAATATATGTATAGATAATTTCTAATTATTAATATATTCATGAATCACGTGTGCTGAAAACACAACTGCCCTGTGAATGTGATGCATTTTTAGGCTCTTAACGTATGAGCCGAATTTCTATAAAATATACATACGTTCGTCGTCAGGACCAGAATGGCCTAAAGAAAACTTGTATAAATTATTCAATTTATATTTAGAATCGAAAAAACAAATGAAACAATGTCTAAACAAGATATGAAAATCCTCGTAAAAATGCCGTTACAGAAACGGTCGAAAATAATATTTATCCACAAACCATTATTAAAATAATCCAAGCCCTTGGGTCCCTCAGAACTACGTCTGCGCGCCATCCCACTCCGAGAGTGAGGCAAGCTGTTGTATATTTACTTTTGTGTGTTTCTTTTTTTTTTTTGTAATGCTTCTTCTGTAATAATTTTCATTATTTTAATAATACAATCATTTGAGTGGCAGTGGCCACTTTTAATAATAATCGTTAACACTTGTGTTCATTCTTTAGTGGCCCCTTTTTACTAATCACTTAGGGGTCACTTCTTAAATTACCGTAAATATTCTATATAAATATAGTGTAAAATCCTAACACATATACATATTACATTTTTAGTTTCGGCCTTAAGCCTAAAGTGGGAGACATTTATTACTATGATACTAAATATATGCCTAAGGCCGAAACTAACGTAATATATATATTAAAACACAAAAGGAAGTTTTCTATATACTCATCGTGTTAGGGTAGTAGAGTTAATTTTATAATTTTAAACGAAATGTATGTTAGTAACCACAGAGAAACATGAACAACATTACCACCATAACACTGTATATGATCAACAGCAAAGCAAAATAGAAATGTAAAGAGAAGTTTATATTATTGTCATCAAGAAAATACAATAGTTAACAATATCCTCTTTGTTACAGTTTTTTTAAACACACAACAATATTGAATAGATATAATGATAGCCATGCTGTCTTCTAAACAGTACAGAATATTTTCAAATGTTTAGGTTTAACTTTGTTTCTTCCTTTGTCACCCAGAAAATACTATAAAATTTGGATCCAGCTCAAAATACACACTTCACTCGATAGTTTGTAAAAATATTGTGCAAAACTGAATACGCTGTAAAAGCCACAAATCAAGGACAAGATCAAATATAAGCGATAATTCAACACGTATATTTAAATATATACTAGTATAATGTTAATACACTAAGCCTTATCCACTATGGCATAGAAACTATTAAAATTGCCATATTTTCATTGAGAACAATCATTAATTTATGTTTTTAAGAAAACTTTCGTACAAGTACTTCAGTTTGACTCAATAATTCTTAAACCAGTTTAAATATCTTACACTAAATTAGAAAGTAAATGTTTTCAGGAATTAAATGATATATGAAAAAGAAAATCACTTCTACGTGTGCTATTTTTGTAAAACTTCTGAGTTTGAGATTTCACATTAGGTCTTGCATTCAAGAACCAACATGAAACTATTTGTGATCGACTAACGCATTTGTTACATCTAAACTTTTGAAATACCCTGTACATATAAGATTTTCTGGTACACTAGTATTTTTTTATTATATACTTAACTTTAACACATGTAAATATAATTCTGATATAGCTGAACATCCAGGCACGAAGAATAATAATTTTAGTTAATACAATGAAAAACTTAGTTTTATCGGACATGATTATTTGACTCCATTGTAACCTCAATAATTTTAATTATCACAATTTTCATAAACATAACAATAATTTTTCTGAAATAATATTTGGCTAAAAATTAATCTACACGTATATTTTATTTGATACCTCAGATAGTAAATATATATATATCCTTGAAATTTATATTAGCAATAACATTGATGATCACAACACGTTACACTTATGTATTCATACCTCATCATAATCATATTAACGATTTCGTACTTCCTCCTTGTAGCCGTAGAAAAAATACCCATCGTACCGACATTCATGTGCCGAGCTACCCTCGCCAATAATCTCAACGTTCGCAAATCGTGATATTTAGTAAGTTGATAATATATTAGCTCAATAAAAAAAATAAAAACAATGTCTAACTTGATTTATTGTCGTTCGTACACGTTACAAGGAATATAAAACAACTGATAATCCAAGGGATTTTGATAATTATTAATATTTTAGTCTTATCATTAAAATTTGGATGCCGCATAACGGAAATGTTTGATTTTGTTGAACTACTAATTATTTTCAGTTTTACTTTTACTAAGAAAATTGGCCAGTATTAACTACGTATTTTTCAGTAATCAAAAATGGCCATGCAGATTTACAATTCTGTCAACCCCCAAGTAACACATCAGAAATAAATTCAGATTATAATTATGATTGTAATAAAGCGCTATCTTTTGGTTAGATCCATTCATATGTTTTAGTCACAAACAGATCTTTAAAACACAAGGAAGGTTAATAATTAGATAGGGTAATTAACATTCATTAGAAAGTGTTACAATATTATTTCTTGCTTAAGTAATAAATACTTCCGGTAGCAAACAAACTACTTTCAATGAAGGTCTGTTTTCAAACTAATTAATGTAAGTGAATGATTAGGCGTCAAAACAAAAAATAAATGGCCTTAATTTGTTTAAAAACCAAAAAAGAGACAAAAATTGTCAATAATAACGAATAAATAAATAAATATATATATCTATACACACACACATATATATATGATCTGTTTTCAACATATTTATGTAATGAATAAATAGATGAAGACACGACTTGTTTTTAAGGTAATAATTTATCAGAAAACTAAACAAACATATTTTTGTTTCTGAAAATATTAGGTACTAGAGTGAGAAATTATGAGGTATGATGTTAAATATAAACTTGTATTATTATTATTTAATATGCTGTGCTATTTTGAGTATATGACACTTATGATCTATGTAAACACAACCTCTAACTCCAGTTTATTTTTATTTTTGTTAACGATTCGACGTTACAGCTATAAACCTATTTCAGAAAAACCATAACGCAGTTAAACTGACTGATGTCTACTGTTAAAAAAAACCATAACGCAGTTAAACTGACCGACGTTTACTGATTAAAAAAAAACAATGCAGTAAACTGACTGATGTCTACTGATAAGAACAACCATAACACAGTTAAACTCACTGATGTCTACTAATCAGAAAAACCATAACACAGTTAAACTCACTGATGTCTACTAATCAGAAAAACCATAACGCAGTTAAACTGATTAATTTCTACTGGTCAGAAAAACAACAATGCAGTTAAACTGACCGATATTTACTGATCAGAAAAGCCGGAACGCAGTAAACTAACTGATCAGAAAAAATCATAATGTAGTAAACTGGCTGATGACTACTGATCAGGAAAACAATAATACAGTGAACTAACTGATGTCATGACTACTGATCAGGAAAACAATAATACAGTGAACTAACTGATGTCTATTGATCAGGAACAATAATACAGTAAACTGAGTGATATCTACTGACCAGGCGAGTAATAACGCAGTGAACTGACTATTATCTACTGATCACAATAATAACAGTGAACTGACTGACATATACTGATCAATAATACAATGACCTGACTGATGTATACTACTGATAAAAACAGTAATGCAGTAACTTAATTACGACAATAATAATAAGACAGTAACGCAGTAAACTGATTGTTTTCAAGAGGTGAAGTAAACAGTTTAGCAATGCTGTGACTGTTTCACTTGTTACAAATTGAGAATTTGAACAATAGTGTCGAATAATCATGTCATTGGTTCACCAATTAGTGAAAGATACGATACAAAATGTTACACGTCATGGTTTATCGACAGGATGAAAATTCTTAACCCTAAAGACGACGAATTAACACTAACATAAAAACAAGTAATGCATATATTAGTTTCGTTGTATTAACCATCCTATCAAAATACCTAAGGGTTACTTTTTAGGAACCCACTAGGTCTGATATGACTCGTGTCATACGTATACCATATGTCTTTTCTTCCACTTTTAAAGCGACATTTAACAGAGTTGACTAAAATTAAGAAAACAAAACTAACCTTTGATATTTGTTTTGCCTCTTTTCAGACGATATGTATTATCCTCCATACTTGAAAGTTTGCACCCGATTACTAAAATAACCGAAAATTGCCCTTTTACAAAGGCATGTAAATTTTGTTTTTGTGTTTGTGAATAAACTGGAATAAGCACTCTTTTATCCTATATACTACACTGACCTGGTCATCATTCAATCAATTGTCACGTTATGAATGAATGAAAAGGTTTATTTTAAAGAGCATCCACAATATATATATATATAGTTAATTAAGACATTGCAAATATATATGACGTTTAGCTTCAAACACATTTAAGTAATTTTCTTCGAAAAATCTGTTAACAATATTTTCGTAACATAAGTGATATTTCTGATTTGTTTTTGTTGTGGTTATAGTATAACAGTGTTTTCTGCTATACACAGCATATACTGTAACCATTTTAACAACAGTAGCAAACCACATCGAAAAGGTTAGAAGAGCTCAAAAATTACATAACACACAACCGTTAAGAGTTAAAACTTGAAATTACGGATTAATCTCCATTTTGTAAAACAGATATCCGTTTAAATGGAAAGGCAAGACGAAGTGTGAACCAAGACAATAATATAACACATAATATGAATCAAAACCAGCCACTGGCGTGCAGAATTGACCTTCCAAATGTTTCCATGGGTAAAAGACATAAAGATAACTTAGGTATATGGTTTATTTTCTTGTGAAGAAGAACTTGGCGGCAAAATGTGGACCTGGTACATTAACTTCTTACTTCGGCACCAGCTGAAACTGTTATCGAACGTCAAGATATCTGAAAAAATAAAGGGTAAGAGAGACAAATGTTAACACAAAGCTACAGTAACAATGGCCAAGATTATATACGTGTATAACAGTTTAGCATTCCACCAGATGGATGAATGACAATGAATCAGGCTTAGGACCTCAGTGGTTATTTGCTTATTTGAAAAGTGAAAGAAGATAGCGTCATTGCAAGGCAAGCATCCCAAACCAAAGGAACAAAAGAAAACGTTTATTATGAATAACGGGTATCGAATTTACAACTAGGTAATGATGGAACGGAGACACCACCAGATATCTTAATAAATATAAGTAGTTTGTTTTATGGCAAAGCTTCCAAGGCTATCTGCCATCATTCCTAATTTTGAACTGCCGATCATAAAGAAGGGAAAGTGCCGCAGCACCCACCGCCAACTCTTGAGCTAATCTTTACTAACGAATAATGGGATTGATCGTCACTATATAACGCCTCATATCTGAAAAGGCGAGGATGTTGACGCCGGGTTTCGATCTTGCAACCTTCAGGTTGTAAGTTGAGCGCCATAACCACCAGGTCACATAAGTAGTAAACGAAAATTTACGTTTTTACAAAAAAAATATAATAATGCAGTGAAATCTTGGAGACAGAAATAGTTTGTCATGATTATACATACACACACACACACACGTATGTTACAGATTTCTTTTCTATGACGTAGAGGCTTAATACATTCCTTGATTGGCCGTACCTTCTGGTATGAACTGCAGTTTCTCCTGTTCAAGGTTCATCAGCACAGCTTGGGTCAGCAAACCAAAGAAACACAGTTAGGCCTCTTAGCAGAAGGTATGGCCAATCAAGGAATGCATTAGGCCTCTACATCACAAATTCTTTTTTCAATTATACCACTGGCGAAAAAGAAATCTGCAACATATATATATATATATATATAACCACTTGGTCCGCTGTATAATATCGAATAATGACTTATGTGCAATGTCAAATGTCATAACATCATCCACACAGCTAAATTAATTCAGATTGCTGTATGAAAGGACTCAAAAACCCCATAATATTATATATATAAGTCACCACTATAAGAGGCCTAACTGAATTTCTCTCGTTTGCTGACCCAAGCTGTGCTGATGAGCCTTGAATAGATGAAACTGCAGTCCACAGCAGAGAATACGGCCAATTAAGGAATGCATTAGGTCTCTACATCCCTGATTTTCTATTCTATTTTACCTTGGGTGAAAACAAAAAGAAATCTGTAACACAAACACACATATATATATATATATATGTAAAATCATTAAACAGTTGGTCCTCTGTATAATATCAAATAATGAATTAGGCGCAATATTATAACGTTATTCGCATGCCTAAATTAATTTAGGTTACTATATGGTGACAATTAAAAACCTCATAAATATTGTTATGCCTCCGTTCGTTAGTTAATTTTCCGTAGAAATTCTTTCCGAAGAAACTATACCGATACAAGTCCTTTCTTAAATAAAACTGATTTATTCTTTCTGAATACAACTTTGCAATACACTTAACTTCCACAGTCGCGCTATAACAAATATTATAATTCACAATGAACGTCTCACGTGCTCGACTCAACAATACTCTCTCTCTGTCAGCAGTTCAATTACACATTACATTGTTGCCATCGCTTCTTGGCCGGTCTTATATATACAAGACTACCGCATATCTAGTAAACGCTCGATCATTCAGGATCCTTCTAGAAGTTCATGACGTGTTACTAGGGTCACGTGACTTCCGCTGTCGTAACAATATCATTATTTGTCGATATACTGGTACAATACAAATATGAGTTTGGGAAACAGAGACAGTCTGTCCTTATACTGCTACAATACCAATTTAAGTTTCAAAGACAAATAATTTGTCATTATGCTGTTATAATACTAATTCCAACTTGGGAGACAGTTTGTTATTATAAAACAGCAACATTAATTAAGATTTGGGTGACAATTTGTTAACATAATACTATAATAATCAAATTTTCAGAGGCAGTTTTACAATAAAACAACACATTTGAAATATAGTTTTTCACTACGCTGCTGTAATATTAATCGAAGTTTGGTAGAAAATTTATTAATATGATGCTAGAATATAACTGAGATTTCAAGAGACAGTTTTTACTGTAAAATGACAATACTAATTGAAGCTTGATATAGTTCGTTACCATGCTGTAATAATATTAATTGAAATTTGGGATGCAGTTTGTTACTAAAAAATAACACCACTAATTGAAGTTTGAGATACAGTTTGTTGCTATACTGCTACAATACTGTTTGAAGTTGGAGAGATAGGTTGTGTAACGAATTTATTGTTATGTATTTATTTTATTAAGTTTATATTTAAAAACATGCATGGCTTGTAGTGTTAGATATGTATTGCGAAACTCTCGCCCTTTCTCCAAAGTTGTAGAAGATTCTCGAGAGTAGGAATCAACAATATATGTATATACGGCCCCCCAGTGGCACAGCGGTATGTCTGCGGATTTACAACGCTAGAAACCGGGTTTCGATACCCGTGGTGGGCAGAGCACAGATAGCCCTTGTGTAGCTTTGTGCATAATTAAAAAACAAACAAACAATGTATATACGTAAACATTTAAATGTAGCTCAGTATTGTTATGTAAACTGAATTGTTTAGAAAACCTTCCCACGCTTATAAATACAACCAACGCGACACGCCAAAAGAAGAGTGTCTATTAGTAGTTCGCTATAATCAGTGTGTTCGAAAGGTATAACTGTGATTTTATAACGCTTATGAATCGGAAACTTCAGATTTTGACCAGGAACATTTACTAAAGTT